GCAGCGGGCGCAAAGGCTACAGCGAAGGCGCCGACTGTGGCGTCCTTCAAAGATAGCTCGGAGATAGCGCTCACGAGCGCCCGAGGCACGCCTGGCGTGGGCGGCGGCCGCAGCGGGCGCAAAGGCTACAGCGAAGGCGCCGACTGTGGCGTCCTTCAAAGATAGCTCGGAGATAGCGCTCACGAGCGCCCGAGGCACGCCTGGCGTGGGCGGCGGCCGCAGCGGGCGCAAAGGCTACAGCGAAGGCGCCGACTGTGGCGTCCTTCAAAGATAGCTCGGAGATAGCGCTCACGAGCGCCCGAGGCACGCCTGGCGTGGGCGCGGCCGCAGCGGGCGCAAAGGCTACAGCGAAGGCGCCGACTGTGGCGTCCTTCAAAGATAGCTCGGAGATAGCGCTCACGAGCGCCCGAGGCACGCCTGGCGTGGGCGGCGGCCGCAGCGGGCGCAAAGGCTACAGCGAAGGCGCCGACTGTGGCGTCCTTCAAAGATAGCTCGGAGATAGCGCTCACGAGCGCCCGAGGCACGCCTGGCGTGGGCGCGGCCGCAGCGGGCGCAAAGGCTACAGCGAAGGCGCCGACTGTGGCGTCCTTCAAAGATAGCTCGGAGATAGCGCTCACGAGCGCCCGAGGCACGCCTGGCGTGGGCGGCGGCCGCAGCGGGCGCAAAGGCTACAGCGAAGGCGCCGACTGTGGCGTCCTTCAAAGATAGCTCGGAGATAGCGCTCACGAGCGCCCGAGGCACGCCTGGCGTGGGCGCGGCCGCAGCGGGCGCAAAGGCTACAGCGAAGGCGCCGACTGTGGCGTCCTTCAAAGATAGCTCGGAGATAGCGCTCACGAGCGCCCGAGGCACGCCTGGCGTGGGCGGCGGCCGCAGCGGGCGCAAAGGCTACAGAGATGGCGCCGACTGTGGCGTCCTTCAAAGATAGCTCGGAGATAGCGCTCACGAGCGCCCGAGGCACTCAAGCTCGACACGGTTTCGACCCAGGTTCGGGTCAAGTGCGACTCAGGCTCGCCTCCACGTCCAACCGAGTCGATGGACGCCCGGTGCAGCTGCGACGCACGAGTGGAGCGAGTGGCTCCAGGAAGGCTCCCAAAATGAACTGCCAACGCATCGTTCTTGACGGTCCTGGGGCTCTGCAAGGGCCTCCGCATGACGAGAATTGTGAATATATTTCCGTCGTGCTCTTTTCCGCGACGCGAGGATGCTAGGTTCCTCTTTTGAGCTTGTTTTTTACCCCGTGCCGACAACGGTCGTTGCCGAAGGGGGGGGGGGGCGATGGGGCTGGTAACGTCACGACTTGCGCCGGTGCCGTCTGGGGAATCAGCTACCCCTAGCAATTCCCGAACGGCGCCGGCGCGAATCGTGGCGTTATTGTGGGGCGGAGGTGGCGGGGGGCATCCCCGCTAACGACCGTTATCGCGCATCGTAAGAACATTCGTTTCTGGCTCTCCCCCTCCGCCCTCCTCCTCTCCCCCCTCCATGGCTGGAGCCATAGGTCATCGGGGCCTTGATGAACGTCGGGGACGCCGACCGGGCGCACGGCTGGCTGCGGGAGATGGAGGCTGCCTGGGCTCATGATGGTAAAAGTCAAGTGTCGACCAGACAGACCCAGGATTTCACCACACCCCAACCCAACCCGAAGGCTCCAATTTGCCCTTCATGTCCAGGTGGGGGGGGGGCGTCGAGGAACATTGCAAAACACATATGGAACTCGTACCCCCCCCAGCCCGAAATCTGGGTCTTCGGATTGGGTTGGGACAGACTGGTAGGTAATCAGGATTTGGATCAAATCGCTCCAGGATGTTCTGGAACGCTCTGGACTGGCCGCTGCGCCCCATGGATCCCCCAGAGCCGCGAAATCTCGGCGATCCTCTTTCGAGGAGGATCGATGATATTTCGAGGCATTTCGAGGAGGATCGATGATCGAGCTTTCGAGGCATTTCGAGATGCTTCGCCCGAGGCTTTCGAGGAGGATCGATGATCGAGCTTTCGAGCATTTCTGTCGGGCAGGGGCTGGGGGCCCCAGGTGGTAACTCCGGGGGCCCAGGGCCTGCAGATGTGCATACACACCCGCTGCACTCTGGCGTTTCGGGCTCCCTTTCCCCGGAAGCCCGAGGCGCAGTGGCTGTGGAAGAAAATCTGCCCCCCAGAGGCCAGACTCCTGTTCCAGACTCACCGCGCCTCGGCCTTGTGGCGCCCCTTCCTGGAGAGTCCGAGACGCAGTGGATATGCAACCGAAATGAGTCATTGGTTTTGGTTCCTCCCCCCTATTCATTCGGCGGTGGATAGGACTGGTCCTATAACCTCTTCATCCTCCTCCTGCTCTCCCTCCTCATTCCCCTCCTCCTGTTCCCCCTCCTGCTCCTCCTCGTCCTCATTCCGCTCCTTGTAGTCGCAAGCGTGGTCGTAGCTGTCGGCCTCGCTGTTGCGCGGCGGGTGCCGCGGGAACAGAGCACGAGTTATCCCCTTTTGGTGGGACCCCAGTCCGTGAGCAAGGCCAGCGACCAAATGATTAACCCCCTTTAATGGGGGGGTCTAAAGTATTTTATCACGGTTATGGATCAAACTTTTGCCCGCAGTGGAGGCCTCTTCTGCTGGGATCCCCCCGCGGGGAGGCCTACCACGGGGAGGCCTCCGCGGGGGCTTCTGGGCACCTCTGTGTGGAGGTGTCCCGGGTACCTCGGGAGGGGGGGGGGAATGCTTGGGCGGTGCTGCTGCGATCGGCACGGGTCGACTGCACATATAAGAGTGGCCCTTCGATCGATTGCCCTTGGGCGCTGGCCCAGGAGGACCCCCCGATCGCGGAGGAAGATGCGACATCAGCGGCTTGCGCACCGGGTCTTGGCCTCCTCGCGCCTCCCCTGAAGCCGCGCACCAACGGCCACTCTTGCCTGGGGTGACTCTTGCATGTAGCCGAACGGGGTTGCCAAGGGGATAAGGGGGGGATGATCTGTTCAGGGGCAACGGTTCTGGGGACAGGCTCAGTGGGAAACGCATCAACCACCGATCGCCCATGTTTGTCCTCGATAGAGGTCTGATAGCCCCACCCTTCGCAGGAACGTGCGGATTCGCTATCGGGTGCCAACCGCCAACATATCGATGATGCGTCGCCGATTCAGGGTCTATGCGTTGCACCTGAGCAGGTCCCCCCTATCTTTGCCCCAAATCAGTGGATGCCAAGGTGAGTTGTCTCTGGCCTCACTTGGCATATACGTGGGTTCAAATGCCAGAGGCGGCTTCGGGAGGTCAGCGATTCGGGCTACGTAGGCCCCGCCCACAGCGGAGTCATCTGACCCTCCCAACCACTTCTAAGCTAGGTTAGGTCAGGTATATCCAAAAATCTCCAATGTCTCCTGAACACCCCCCGCCCCGATCCAATCAGGACCAGGATAAACCGTTCCAGAGCGTTCTGGAAGCAGTTCTGCATTTGGACACCGGCACGTTTTCTTGCGTGGACGGGGGGGGCGTGGGGAGGTTCGAAGAAAAAAACACCTGCACTAACATTAACTTTTGGCGCTCCGCGCGGCTTTCTTGGATCCGCGCTGGGCCCTCCCCGGCGGCGCCTCGGGCGCCCTCCCTGGCGCGCACGGCGCCGCCCCTGGCGCGGACCGCGCGCCAGGGAGGGGGGTCCAGCGCAGATGCAAGAAATCCGTGCGGAGCGCCAAAAGTTTATGTTTATGCAGCTGTTTCTTCTAGAGGCCTGAAAGGAGATCTAGACTTCCACGCAAGTCGGGACTCACTTGCACTCCTTTTCGGGCCAGCGCTATCTGAAACACCAGTGGAGGAGGGGGGCACGCCATGAAAGTACACTCGCCGGAATCTAACTGCAGGCGCGCTTCTCTTTTTGGGCCGTCTCGCGCCGTCGGAAGTAAGAAAAGATGAGAATGCGAAACTGTGTCAAACACCCATTTGTTTTGCCTCATGAGGCCCTCGTGTGGCTCCTCTTGGAGCCCTCTTGGGCCGTTTGGGGGGTAGTGTTGAGACAATCTCGAGCCGTCTTGGAGCCCTCGAGGACTGTGTCAGAGCCTTCATGCGTGGTCTTAGAGCCCGCGTCCAGGAGCACTTCCGAAGCATGCACATGAGTCCACCGGCAGAATCGTTTGGCGGGACCTACCAGGACCCATTCCCTTCAGACTAGCCAGACGGGGCTGCGGGGGTGAGATTTGGCGAGGGGCAGCAATCTCGCACGCCGAAGAAGCTCGGGCGATCGCAAACATGGATTATAAGGGCGTGGATTGGCAACGGGTCCCGTTTACATGAGAAATCGCGGATTTCCGCCGCCGAAGGAGGCAGCACCGGCCACATTTTGGGGAGGGCAGTTCCCCCGATCCATGGATTTGGCGACCGCGCGCCAAATCTCCGGCCGAACGAAAGGGGGGGATAGGAAAAGGGGGGGGTACGAAATCTGCTGCATGCAGCTGGTTTCAGCCCCGCAGCCTGACCCATTCCTCGATACATGGGCGCCTCCCAGCGCCGGGAGGCGCCGGAAAAATCAGCTACGGAAAAATGATTTTCACCCCCCCCCTTTGCTATCCCCCCCTTTCGCCCGGCCGGAAGATCCATGGACCGCTAACCCATGTCTGCGCGCCCCCGAGAAGCCCCAAGGGGTCGGCGTCCTTGCTGGCTGGGCGTCTGGAGGGAGCGGCCCCGTAGCTCGCTTGGGCAGACCCTCGGCCCGGGAGTAAGGCGGCCTTTCGGAGGCGCGGGCGGGCGGGCGGAGGGGACGTCGGCGCTCTGCCCTTCTTCTTCGTTCTCTTCTCCGTCGTCTTCTTCTTTTTATGTTCTTCTCCTCATCCTTCTTCATCTTCCTCTTCTTCTTCCTCTTCCTCTTCTTCTCATTATTTCACATCCGTAGTTATTTCCCCATGTTTCTTCTCCTCCTTCCTCTCCAGATCCGCCCCGCGCTCCAGCCGCCCACTCGTTTCCCCCCTGGGTCGCCTGCCGCTCTGCTCCAGCCGGCCCTCTGCCTCTGCCCGCGGCCGCCGTGGCTCAGGGCTTTTTGGCTCCGGCAGGCTCCCGAGTCCGCCGCCCCCTCGCTCCCACACGCTCTTTCACAGGGCTGGACCTGGTCGGTGTTTCCGGCGATTTTGTGGGCCGTTTTCGTTTCGACTTCGTTTTGCGGTAAAGGCGAATTCGAGCCATAAGCGAGGGAAAACGACAACAAAGCACGAACACGAAAAACACCGTTTAGGTTCAGCCCTGCTCTCTCACTCTCGTCCTCCTGCAAGTCGCAGGGAGGCCAGCCAGATTCTCCCATGGCCTCCGCGCTTGCTCAGGAGAAGGGCGTGCAGTGGACTCTGGATGCGATCGTAGACTTGTGGCACGTGGGCAGGCTGCAGATCGAAGACCTCCCCGAAGGCCAGACGTACAGCAACGAGGAGACGGCTACATGCAAGCACGTGGAGAGCATATTCAAGGACACCAGGGTGTTCCTTAGAGACACGCGCTTCTACGAGCGAGTGTGCAAGAGGTCTTCCGATGTGTTTACCCACCATCCCGTCTTAGTGATCGGGAACTGGCGCCAGGGTAAGTCCACATTGATAAACGCCCTTACGGATCCTGATGGCCTTTCGGACCAGGGTAAGGCAAAGACAGGTCGCCGCTCAAGAACTACCATGAAGGTTGCCCTGTACCCTCTAGAAACCTGTGGGCCATTCAAAGTACTTCTAGCCGACTCACCTGGCCTGGATCCCGACACATCGTTCGACATCATGCAAATGTACCGCGATACTCTGAGGGAGCGAGGGTACTGCCCCGATGTGCTCACCGATTTGATCGTCCTGGTGGTCGCAGGCACCTCGCAGGGAATCTCTTCTCTGGAGTCGGAGGTCTTCGCCAACTGGATCCGGGACGAGTACACGAAGGCGCGCGCCCAGTCGTGCGGCGGCTGCACCGTCTTGCCGGTCATTACCCACGGCGACCACATCGACCAGGATCAGAGAAATGTACGGCTCGAATGAGTCGGAACTCGGGTTTGCCGACGTTTTTTGACGAGCGCGTCCTGGATGTTGACGGTCCAGTTTTCGTGGGATGTGTGCAGCGGGAGTTCGCGTCACATTTCAGATTGGGTCTCGTCATTTTCATGATGGCCCCGTCTGGCCAATCCGAGTCCCCCCATACCGAGTCTTACGTCTCCCCGACAGGAGGATCTGGAGGCGGACAAGAAAGTTGTCGAGGACCGCCTGAGGAAGATCACCGCCCAGGTCGCCTCGGGCAGCGCGGCGCACCGCAGCGCGCAGCATGGAGCCGCCGGTCATGGAGCGCAGGCCCTTCGCTGTGACGCCTCGGCGCACGTCATGGAGCCGCTGGTGGTGGTCAACCCAGACGCCAAGCACCAGCGGTTGGGGAGGGGCATCGTAATGCTGCGCGAGACCATTGTGCGCGAGGTGAAATCCAGGAGCCAGTCACGGGAGTTCAAGGCTTCGGTCGCAAACCATGGGGGCCTGGTATACCCTCTAAATTCCGCCTTTACCGTCGATTCGCGTCTATTAGCGTCTGGAGTCGATGAGAGAGTGCCGATGTTGCGTCGGTTGGTGTCAGTTAGCATCGATTTAGCGTCGATGAGCGTCGATTAAGCGTCGACTGGCGTCGATTAGCAAGAGCCGACAAGATGGTATGGGAGGCTCCCATGAGCTGCATCCGAGCAAGGCGCAGTGGTCCGGGATGTTGACGAAAGACCTCCGCGAGGGCGTGGTGGATTTCCGAGCGCGCCACCCTCACGACGAGACGGAGACGCGGCTGTTCCATCGCACGGTGGCGGCCGTGCTGGCCACGTACGGCAAACGCTCGCCGAACATCGACACCGCGCTCCCCAACGCCAGTTGGCACTTGTTGGACGGTATTGAGCGCAAGCTGAGGCTGCAGGCGACAAACATATCCGTACTGACGGCCTCGCGGAGTGGACTCCGCGGCCGCGACCTCGTGGATGCCGGGCAAAAGCGCGGCATGGGACGGACGCCCCGCGCAACACGCCATCCACGGGATCGCGCATCAACGTGACCGCGCCTCGGTGTCCAGACTGAGAGGGTATGGATATGGACGTGATCGTCGCTCCTGACCAGGGGCGAAGAGCATTGGCGGGATCGGTTCCTCGGCAAGATGGTGGGTGCACTGCCAGTCTCGCCCAGAGAAGTGTCCCCCCTATTCTGGCCGACTGTGGTTGTCATTGGAGGCAGGCAGCTGTACAACTACCGCTCCAGCGTTGCGCAGCGCGCGATCGAGTGGCTTAAGAAGGTGCTCTGAGTGGATGAGTCCGACGCTCCAGAGACAGCACGCGTCCTCTGCGTCACTGGTCGCTCGGATCTCGCAAGGGCGTGGCGCACCCCGTAGAGCGAGGCGGCGTCGCACGCGCCTCCAGTTTGCACGCCCTGTCGGCGCGAAGGCCAGGGCGCCACCACAGTTTCGAAGGAGCTCTAGCTCTTTGGGCTCTGCACTCCAGTCGGCGGCGAGCCAGGGGGGAAGCGAGAGGGGGCTGGGCCTCCTCGCGCGACGGCGGGGCTGCTCGGCCACCCTCGAGCTGTCTGAGAAGTCTTTCTGCCTTGTGGGACGGCCCCGGAAACCTGTCCAGAAGGCCCGAGGCCGTCCGAGCTTTCTGGGTCCTCCTCCTCCTCCTGCTCCTGCTCCTCCTCCTGCTCCTCCTCCTCCTCCTCCTCGGCCCGCCCGCTCTGGATTTCCCCCCCGGGGCTCGCCGCCGACCTGGGCGGTGACCACTGCCCCCGTCCGTCGGAGGCGCGCCGTGTCCAGATGCAGGCGCTGCCCGGGAATTCTTGCTGGCGCGGGCGCTTCGTTTCCAGCCCCTGCCGCCCGCGCGGGCGAGCCTGCAATCCGAGGCGGGAATTTATACATGACCACCGCCTGGAGGGTCAGTTTTCGGAGCCTCGCAGGCGGTGGATATGGACATATTCGGGCCCCCAGGGGCCGAATATATCCAGATCCACCGCCCGCAGTGGCACCAGGACGTCGGTTCCCAGGCGGTGGATGTGGATAAATCCCCGCCTCGCACTGAGTCGTGCGGCATGCCTGCGGTCACCGTGGCCAGCCGCCCGCCGTTTTCATTTTTTCGGCCCACCGGAATCGACCTGTTCTGCTCGGCACGATCGACGTGGGTTCGGGAAGGATGGGCACCAGGACCTACACGGCATGCCTGGTTCCTCTTGAGCAGGGCTCGTTGTCGGTTTCGCCGCGGACGTCGCCCATTCGAGACAGAAGGCCACCTGCTCAACAGCGGCCGCTGCCAGTTTGTGACAGCATTACTTGTTAGCCAACGCACCCATTTTTTCCGTACCCATTCCGGGCGGCCAAATCTGTTGTTTGGTCCTGCCCCAGGTTGCAGCAAGACCGCGCGCTCCGTCAACGCAGGCCGGACGCTCGAACGAAAAGTTCCCGAAGCCCGTCCGCCCCGCCCACCCCGTCTGGCCACGCTTGAGGCAATCGACCAGCACAGATTGTCGACAGGCAGTCAGCGGCCGCCGTGTGCAACTTGCCGGCTTCGCCTCTTCAGGCCCTCCTGGGGCGCTCCTCGGGCGCTTTTGGAAGCCCGAGCGACGGTCTTGGGGCCCTTCGCGGCCTGTCCCAGCAACGTGACCTCGCGCACATGCGCGCATGTGTGTTCGTCAATGTGTATGTGTTTCGCGCTGGTGCAAACATCAAGCAGTGGCGAAGCGTCTTGGCGTGCCTATAGGCCTACCAAATAATGTTATCAGAACATGTTGTGGTTTCCACGAGCTGTGCTTCGAACATTTCTGGCCTGGACTGTCTTGTTTTAACATATCGGGTTTGTTTTCTAAGAACATCGTGTTTGTTCTTAGGACATTGTTGGATTCTGAAAACATGTCGTGGTAGGCCTATTAAGATGCCGGGACGGTCGGTCCCTGCTCAAAAACAAGCGTGGTTATGTGCCACCCGCAGGAGCGCAGCGCGCGAAGTCAGGTGACTTGGCTGGCTGTTCGAGGAAGGCTCGGTGCCGCGCGACCCACCCCTTAGGGTGCAACTCCTGGGAGGTTGAATTCGGCATCGGCGCTGGTACCTCCGTGTTGCCCGCTCAATCTGGCACATTCCCACGTAATTTGGCCCAGTCGTGCTTCATCTGACCGATTTTTGTCATATGTATATATATATATATATATATATTATATATATATATATATAATATATGTGAAAGAGCGTGTTCTACCGCTGCTGGCGGAAAACCGGGGGGGGTCACTACCGGTTCGAACCCCTCCCCCCCCTCTCGGAAAACCGGGGGGGGTCACTACCGGTTCGAACCCCTCCCCCCCCCCTCCCAGTTCATCATGAAAAGGGGGGGGGTCACTACCGGTTCGAACCCCCCCCCCCCTCGAAAACCGAGTGGGGGTGCGGACAGTGGTGGGGACGGTGTTGGTGGGGACAGTGGTGAGGGGACAGCGGGACAGTGGTGGGGACAGTGGGACAGTGGGACAGTGGTGGGGACGGTAGTGGTGGGGACAGTGGTGGGGACAATGGTGGGAACAGGGGGGACAGTGGACAGTGGTGGGGACGGTGGTGGTGGGGACAGTGGTGTGGGGACAGTGGGAATGAGGTGGAAACAGTGGGACAGTGGAGGGTACAATGGTGGTGGGGACAGTGGTAAAGGCGGTGGCGAGGACGGCGGTGGGACAATGGGACAGAGGTACAGTGGGGACAGTGGTGGGGACAGTGGGGACAGTGGTGGGAACAGTGGGACAGCTCAGTGGGACAGCGGAGGAGTCAGTGGGACAGTGGGGACAGTGGGGATAGGCAGTGGTTGGGTCCGTGGAGACAGTGGGGAGAGTGGAACCGTGGTGGGAACAGTGGGGAACAGTGGGGACAGTGCGACAGTGGTGGGGGCACTGGTGTGGACAATAGGGACGGTGGTGGAACCAGTGGGGACAGTGGTGGTGAGGACAGTGGTGCTGGGAACAACAGTGGGGGATGTGATGCGAGCGGTGGTAGGGACCCGAAAAATCGGCGAGGCGCAGCGGTTCCCCGCTCGCGAGCTTCTCGGACAGAAGCACGCGAACGAGGTGGGCTTCTACGCGGCCGTGGTCGCCCCGCCGCAACGGTTCCGCGCGCTGGCAAGCGCCGCGGAACAACGTGCGGCCGGAGGGCCATAGCCGGGTGGAAACCTAGGGGGCCATGTCCAGCCTCCACGTGGCGGCCTCTGGGGAAGCGCACGGAAACGGCGCCTCGCCCAGAAGGGCAAGGGCCGCGCCCGTGCGTTTCGCAAAGGACATCGTCGTAGCATGACAAAACCCAGCTCCGAAGACGGAAAATCGCAAAGATGCCTGCCGCTGCCCGCCTCAGGCCGCAGCCATCGTCGCGCCCTAACCCGAGCAGGTTTCCGTGGAAGCCCTGTGCCTCCTCGAGTCTCAGGACCAAGACGCTGGAGCCACCGCGCAAGGCTGCCGCGACATCCCTGCGCGCCGAGGCGCTCCTCGGCGCCCCCCTGGCGCTCCCCGGCGCTCCCAGGCGCTCCCGGCACCCTCCCGGCACGCTCCCAGGCGCTCCCAGGCGCTCCCAGACGCCCCCAGGCGTGCTCCCAGGCGCTCCCGGCACGCTCCCAGGCTCCCAAGCGCTCCAGGCGCTCCCAGGCCGGCACTCCCAGGCGCTCCCAGGCGCTGCCAGGCGCGCTTCCAGGCGCTCCCAGGCGCTCCCGGCATTCCCGGCACGCTCCCAGGCGCTCCCAGGCGCTCCCAAGCGCTCCAAGCGCTCCCAGGCGTCCAGTGCGCTCCTGGCACGCTCCCAGGCGCTTAAGCTTAAAGCTTACAGCTTAAAGCTTAAAGCTTGAAGCCTGAAGCTTGAAACCTAAAGCCTAAAGCCGACCGAAAGCCTAAAGCCTAAAGCCTAAAACCTAAAGCCTAAAGCCTAAAGCTTCAAACCTAAACCCTAAAGCCTACAGCCTAAAGCCTAAAGCTTGAAGCCTAAAGCCGACAACCAAAAGCCAAGAAGACAAAATCGAGGGGTCGCCGAAAATTGTTATTTACGTGGGATTCGGAGCAAAGTGCCCGCGCACCGTTTTGTACGATTGAAAGCGGACCTCGCGGATATCGTTAGGCAACGAGGATTGGAGATGGGGGGTGCATCATCCTCGAGCGGGCACTCGCGAGCGTTGTTTTTTTCCACGTCTCGCCTTTCTATCGAGCGGGGGCGCTCTCGGGGTGCGCCGACGGGCGCCGCGTGCGAGTGGTCGCGCGCGGAAGCTCCCTTGGAGTGCGCCAGAGTGCGCCGCGTGCGAGCGGGCACGCACAAAGTCGAGAGAGAGAGAGAGATGGAAACAGTGCTGAAGGCCGCGATAACGTGTTGCGGCATTGTCGACCCCGATCAGCATGCCCCCAAGCGCTCCCGGGCGCTCCCAGGCGCGCCGGAATGCGCCGCGTGCGAGCGGGCACGCACGGAAGCACTGTCGAGGCGCGCCAGGGTGCGCCGCGTGCGAGCGGGCACGCACGAAAGCAAGTTCGGCGCGCGCCAGAATGCGCCGCGTGCGAGCGTCGAGGCGCCGCGTGCGAGCGGGCGCGCACGAAAGCAAGTTCGCCGCGCCAGAATGCGCCGCGTGCGAGCGGGCGCCGCGAAAGCAAGTTCGGCGCGCGCCAGAGTGCGCCGCGTGCGAGCGGGCACGCACGGAAGCGCTTTCTGGGCGCGCAGAGTGCACTGCGTGCGAGCGGGCACGCGCGGGAGCGCTTTCGAGGTGCGCCAGAGTGCACCGAGTGCGAGCGGGCACGCGCAAAAGCAAGTTCGGCGCGCGCCAGAATGCGCCGCGTGCGAGCGGGCGCGCACGGAAGCGCTGTCGAGGCGCGCCAGAGTGCATTGCGTGCGAGCGGGCACGCACGGGGGCGCTTTCGAGGCGCGCCAGAGTGCACCGCGGGCGAGCGGGCACGCACAATAGCAAATTCGGCGCGCGCCAGAATGGGCCGCGTGCGAGCGGGCGCGCGCGGAAGCGCTTCCTGGGCGCGCCAGAGTGCACTGCGTGCGGGCGGGCGCGCACTTGAGCGCTTTCGAGGCGCGCCAGAGTGCACCGAGTGCGAGCGAGCACGCACGGAAGCGCTTTCTGGGCGCGCCAGGATGCGCCGCGTGCGAGCGGGCACGCACGAAAGCAAGTTCAGCGCGCCAGAATGCGCCGCGTGCGAGCGGGCACGCACGGGAGCTCTTTTTGGTCGCGCCAGAGTGCACTGCGTGCGAGCGGGCGCGCACGGGGGCGCTTTCGAGGCGCGCCAGAGTGCACCGAGTGCGAGCGGGCACGCGCAAAAGCAAGTTCGGCGCGCGCCAGAATGCGCCGCGTGCGAGCGGGCACGCGCGGAAGCGCTTTCTGGGCGCGCCAGAGTGCACTGCGTGCGTGCGGGCGCGCACGGTGGCGCTTTCGAGGCGCGCCAGAGTGCACCGAGTGCGAGCGGGCACGCGCGGAAGCGCTTTCTGGGCGCGCCAGGGTGCGCCGCGTGCGAGCGGGCA